GACACCAGACACAGGTGAGTGAGAGAAGAAACAGTGCGGCAGATGCCATGAAAATTTACCATAACTTAAAGCTAATTCGCGCGCGATTCACCGCCTTTGTACCACCCTATTGTGGAGCATATGGTAGATATCATCGAAATTGACGGTCGAACTATCAACAGTCGGTCCAGTGTCTGCGGGTTAGGAAGTCGGAAACCGTTGGCTGCGACGTTGCGTGACCTTGAGGCAGTAGACATCGAACAAGCCTACAATCTGGATAAGACACGCGACAGAGTGTTGACGCTGAAATAAACGCATCATTGATTATTCAGCTCTCCTGTTTTATTTACGACCTTTCACTTGAAGCTGAAATTTATGCAAACCAATCTTGACCCTCCCTTTAGTTGAAAGTTCAGTATGATACCAGGTCCCATTTAAACTATGAAAAAGTAAATGCGTTTAGGGTATAAAAATAGCTACTGAGGCTGAATTTGTCCTTTTAGCGAGAACCAATTAATTTGATTGGATTGTTCTTTGTAACCACAATTAGAACCCCGATGCCTGGGTTGACTGTCTCACCTTTGAATAATAATTTACTTAATCTTTTAGCAACCGTGTTCGAGACTCGACAGTCGTAACAGCGACGATGGTAGCCGTAGCCATAATTGACATGGATGCAAAGAAGCACAAGAGAGGAAACAGAGAGCAAGATGAAGGGGAAGATGACGAGGACGATTCCGTCGAAAAGGACAATGTTGGCCTCGGCTCCGCAGCTCGAAACAAGGATCTATTTGGTGCCTAACTTCAATTCAAAATTCAGATACGAGACTGTTGAGAGCCAAACATATTTTGAAAAACCAATGGTTTACCCGTGTATCTTAGATAAATTATAATTTCTTCGGGATTTTTTGATGTCTTTTCATCATTTTTTTTTGCTTCATTTGATTTAAATGGCCTGCAGTTGCCAGTGGCTATGCAGACGCGCTCAGGAAGTTTTATTACAGCGAGTCTTCTTGTGTCCGAATGATTAAAAAGTCAGCATTAAGCGTTTGCTATAGTTACAGTTTGTAAGTAAAAGCAGCTTTAGTTTTTTTCATTAGGAAGATAAGTTGATTGGTGAATTTAACGACGACATTTATAAGCTACAGGATCCTTACTTGTTTTTAAAGATCAAACCTCATTCAACCACCTTTAGCATAAACATTCAGAGTTCCTTTGACTGATCCAATATCTTGTGCGACCTCTATTCATGATTAAGTAGATATTCTTCGGCAGGCAAGAATGGTATATACAGTCCACAATTATCCTTAATACACATCCTTAACATATAGGACCTTTTCATCGGAGATAGAAGGCCGATAGGAAATCATTTTAAAGCCCGAAACGCCGTGCAAATAATACACCAAACTATTCCATATTCCCATCAGAGAATTCAGAAGTCCAGTTTGGCACGTATACGTGTACTTTCGACAAATTCTCGTCAGGCCTTACATTTATATGGAAAATGAGTGCGAGGTTAAACGTGTTCGTCTTTTCGGACAAGTGAGCAGCGGGAATGGGGGTAGGGGGGTCGATAAGCGAAGGCTGGTTGTAAGGGTACGGTTTGATGGAGCAGTCTAGGGAAGGGGGACGGGGGAAGGGAGACAGACATAGCGCGGATGACTGCATGCCGCTAAGTGACTTTGAGTCATGCCAACTGTGGGGCTTGCAGGAAGTTCTTTTGTGCGCACAAAGCGGG